GATAGATAGATAGATAGATAGATAGATAGATAGAGAATGTTCCCAGGTTTTGCCTCCAAATAGGGTCTCACTTTCGAACAGAGATAGCGCATGAGATTTGCATCAATACGAGTATTTTGGACCATGGGTTACAACTCCCAGTACCTAGAGGCATTCTAGGGGATGGATAGATAGATAGATAGATAGATAGATAGATAGATAGATAGATAGATAGATAGATAGATAGATAGAGAATGTTCCCAAGTTTTGACTCCAAATAGGGTCTCACTTTTGAACAGAGATAGCGCATGAGATTTGCATCAATACGATTTATTTATTTATTTACAGCTTTTATTTTCCGCCCTTCTCACCCCACAGGGGACTCAGGGCGGATTACAGTGTACACATATATGGCAAACATTCAATGCCAATTTTTGACATACAAACATATACAGACATAGACAGAGGCCATTTAACTTTTTTCTGGCCACCAGGGGAGCTGTCGCTTTCATCGTCCATCTGCGATGCTGATGAAGCACTTCCGCATTCCCCGCATGCTTCCCCGCTGTGCTTTGCTGGAGTCTTCTTTTATGGCCTCATAAATCAGTTAATTTAGCCTCCCCACACTTTAAGGTGATACCTAATTTTCCTACTTGACAGATGCAACTGTCTTTCAGGTTGCAAAGGTCGACAACAGGCTACACACAATTGGTTGGGAACCCACTCCAACCCAGGCTGGCTTCAAACTCATGACCTTTTTGGTCAGAGTGATCTTAATGCAGCTGACACTTAGCCGGCTGCGGCACAATCCTGGTAGGTAGGTAGGTAGGTAGGTAGGTAGGTAGGTAGATAGATAGAGAATGTTCCCAGGTTTTGCCTTCAAATAGGGTCTCACTTTCGAACAGCAATGGCGCGTGAGAATTGCATCAATATGGGTATTTTGGACCATGGGTTACAACTCCCAGAACCTAGAGGCATTCTAGGGGATGGATAGATAGGTAGATAGATAGATAGATAGATAGATAGATAGATAGATAGATAGATAGATAGAGAATGTTCCCAGGTTTTGCCTCCAAATAGGCTCTCACTTTCGAACAGAGACGGCAAAAAGGCTGGTGAATGGGGGGACCATTGCATTCTCTTGCATGCCTTGCTCCCGCTCCCTCTTCCTTCCAGAGCCCACGTTTGGAAGAAGGAGTCCTGCCCAATTTGGACTTCATTTCACCAGGAATGACTTTGTACCGGAGGATGGCAAAGCGCTGTTGACAGGTGTCACATCTGGTTCTGTTTCAATGAAAGAGTAGGATGAGATCAGATGAGGACGAGAGAGGATCTTCCGAAAACAGACTCTCCCAGCTGCTCAGATTAGAAAGGACACCTGGCCTACCTTTTATATAGCAGCCAGGGAGCATTACATGACTGAGAAGTCAACCTGAGAAGAAAAAGGGGAAAGATAAAGGGAGGGGAAAGAAGGAAAGAGGAAGAGAAGGTAAGAAGAAGAGAAGGTAAGAAAAAAGGAAAGGAAGAGGAAGAGAAGGAAAGAAGTAGAGAAGGAAAGAAAAAAAAGGAAAGGAAGGAAAGAGAAAGAGAAGGAAGGTGAGAAGGAAAGAAAAAAGGGAAGGGAAGAGGAAGAGAAGGAAGGAGAGAAGGAAAGAAGTAYAGAAGGAAAGAAAAAAAGGYAAGGAAGGAAAGAGAAAGAGAAGGAAGGAGAYAAGGAAAGAAAAAGAYGGAAGGGAAGAGGAAGAGAAGGAAGGAYYGAAGYAAAGAAAAAAGGAAGGAAGGGAAYAGYAAGAGAAGGAAGGAAGGAGAYAAGGAAAYYAAAAYAYGGAAGGGAAYAGGAAGAGAAAGGGAAGGAYYGAAGYAAAGAAAAAAGGGAAGGAAGGGAAAAGYAAGAGAAGGAAGGAAGGAGAGAAGGAAAAGAAAAAAGGGAAGGAAGAYAGAGYAAGGGAAGGAGAGAAGGAAAGAAAAAAGGGAAGGAAGYGAAYAGGAAGAGAAGGAAGGAAGGAYAGAAAAAGGAAYGAAYGAAYAAGGAAGAGAAGGAAGGAAGGAGAGAAGGAAAGAAAAAGAAGGAAGAGAAGAGGAAAGGAAGGAAGGAAGGAAGGAAGGAAGGAAGGAAGGAAGGAAGGAAGGAAGGAAGGAAGGAAGGCAAAAAGGAAGGAAAGGAAATGGAAGAGAAGGAAAGAAGGAGAGAAGGAAAAGAAAAAAGGGAAGGAAGGAAGAGTAGAGGAAGAGAAGGAAGGAGAGAAGGAAAGAAAAAAGGGAAGGAAAGAAGGGAAGAGGATGAGAAGGAAGGAAGGAGAAAAGGAAAGAGAAAAGGGAAGGAAGGAGAGAAAGAAAAAAGGAGAGAAAGTGGGAGGGAAGGTTGGCCACAGCAACGCGTGGCGGGTACAAGTAGTACTACATAAAATACTATATGAACTAGCTGTTACATAGTTAAAAACCAAGTTAAATTCAGTATTATTAAAACTTGAGCAAGAAACACTTTGGGTATTGACAACCACACTATGATTAGGTAAAAGCATCCCCAGAACAATCAACTGCAGTATCGGAAATTAATCTTGCCCAGATTTTCAATGCTATCAGTGTGTTTCTGCCTTTTTGTCTTCAGGACCTCCAGATCCAGATGGATGAGGATGCCCGGCAACATGAAGAGCTGCGGGAACAGTACAACCTGCAGGAGCGGCGCCTCAGCCTTCTGCAGACTGAGTTGGAGGAAGTGCGGACCGGCCTGGAGGGCAGCGAGCGCTCGCGCAAACTCATTGAGCAAGAGCTGGTGGAGGTCTCCGAGAGGCACAACGAGCTCAGCGTCCAGGTGAGATTATTATTGATCTGTCGCCTAGAATCATAGAGTTGGAAAAGACCATATGGGTCATCTAGTCCAACTCTGAGGCAGAGAGTTCCACTGTTGAACAGCTCTTCTTGTTAGAGACCCTAATTTGGGTCTTAATACTAAGGTCCAGGCCACGGGAGGCACAAGGAAAGAGGCAGTCCCAGAAGGAAGATCAAAAGCAAAGGTTTATTCTTTCATGATCATGAAGGAGTTGGACAGTCGTGTAGGGCACACGACACCTCCTTGACAAAAGCAAAGCTTTTTATACAGTCAGGTAAACAAGAGTATTTTTGTCATGGAAAGTTACCAGGTGTCTTCACTTCTGCTCCTCTTAGTCCCCCTCCTATCAATAGTTCAATAGATAGGTTTGTGCACTTTGCTTGGCTTCTTGTTGTTCTCAAGGTGTTAGGCTGTCAAAACCACAATTTGTTCTCTACTTGAAGACTTCGGTGTCGCGCTTAACCGCAAACCAATTTCCTATGTAAGCTGAACAGTGTAGCAAATTAATATTCTTCTTATACTTATGCCTCCTTCATTCTTGCAGTCAGGAAGTTCTTCCTAATGTTCAGGTGGCATGTTCTCATCTCCTGTCATGGCTCCATTGCATCCTTTGGATCCTTTCTATCACACCTTTAATTAAAGTCAAGGCAGTAAACATAACCCTTCCTCTTCCAGAACCAAAGCCTGCTGGTGATCAAGCGCAAACTGGAATCGGACCTCGTGCGCATCACGAACGATCACGAGGAGTTGATCAGTGAGTTCCGGACCGCAGATGAGCGCGCCAAGAAAGCCGTGGCTGATGTGAGTTGTGAATGTGCGTAAGTGAGACAAAGCTTCAACGCCTGTTGCTTTCGGTTAAAAAACCATTGTGCTTCTTCCTAGGCGACCCGCATGGCTGAAGAGCTGCGCCAAGAGCAAGACCACTCCATGCACCTGGAGAAGATTAAGAAGAACCAAGAGGTCACCATCAAAGACCTGCAGGTCAAGATGGAAGAAGCTGAGCAACTGGCTCTTAAAGGAGGGAAGCGCACCATCATGAAGCTGGAGACCAGGGTAAGGAAGAAAACACTACTGTCCAATTGTCTACCCAGTTGTCTCCCATGCAAAGTTCAGGTTGAGACCTATATAGCAGTGGTTCTCAACCTGGGGGTCGGGACCCCTGGAGGGGTCACGAGGGAGTGTCAGAGGGGTCACTAAGGACAATCGGAAAACACAGTACTTTCTGTTGGTCATGGGGGTTCTAGTTGGGAAGTTTGGCCAATTCTATCATTGGTGGGGTTCAGAATGCTCTTTGATTGTAGGTGAACTATAAATCCCAGCAACTACAACTCCCAAAATATCAAGGACTATTTTCCCCAAACTCACATTTGGGCATATTGAGTATCCGTGCCAAGTTTAGTGCAGATCCATCATAGTTTGAGTCCACAATGGTCTCTGGATGTAGATGAACTACAACTTCAAAATTCAAGGTCAATGCCCACCAAACCCCTCCAGTATTTCTGTTGGTCATGGGAGTTTTGTGTGCCATGTTTGTCCCAATTCCATCGTTGGTGGAGTTCAGAATGCACTTTGTTTGCAGGTGAACTATAAATCCCAGCAACTACAATTCCCAAATGACAAAATCAATCCCCCCCCCCAACCCCACCAGTATTCAAATTTGGGTGTATTGGGTATTTGTGCCAAATTTGGTCCAGTGAATGAAAATATATCCTGTATATCACATTATATTATATACATTACGATTCATAACAGTAGCAAAATTACAGTTGTGAAGTAGCAACAAAAATAATTCAATGGTTGGGGGTCACCATAACATGTGGAATTGTATTAAGGGGTCACAGCATGAGGAAGGTTGAGAACCATTGCTATATAGCCTTGTATGGGTCAGGTCGAAGCTTGTATGACCTGTATGGGTTCCAAAATCCTCAAGAAAGATCATTCTTTCCGTCCCATCATGTCTACGATTGGTGGGATTGTGAGAGAGGACTCTAGACCAGACACAGGCCAACTTTTGGCCCTCCCTCCAGGTGTTTTGGACTTCAAGTCCCACAATTCCTAACAGCCTACCCTACGGGGATATCATAGGACAGTGATTCTCAACCTGTGGGTCCCCCAATGTTTTGGCCTTCAACTCCCAGAAATCCTAAGAGCTGGTAAACTCAGGGCTAGGTAATTTTCAAGTGTAAGCAAACAGTATTTTGGTCCCGTCCCCCCCCCCCCAAAAAAGCCATTCATTGGAAAATAAAAGGTAGAAGATAGAGGTGAATAAAAGAATTACTTTACAAATCAGAAGTTTACTTACAATATTATATTCATATAGTTCAGTGTTTCTCAACCTGGGGGTCGGGACCCCCGAGGGGGTCGCGAGGGGGTGTCAGAGGGGTCGCCAAAGACCATAAGAAAACACAGTATTTTCTGATGGTCATGGGGATTCCATGGGGGAAGTTTGAGCCAATTCTATCATTGGTAGAGTTCAGAATGTTCTTTGATTGTAATGAACTATAAATCCCAGCAACTACAACTCCCAAATGTCAAGATCTATTTTCCCCAGACTCCACCAGTGTTCACATTTGGGCATATTGAGTATTTGTGCCAAGTTTGGTCCAGATCCACCATTGCATGAGTCCACAGTGCTCTCTGGATATAGGTGAACTACAACTCCCAAACTCAAGGTCAATACCCATCAAACCCTTCCAGTGTTTTCCATTGGTCATGGGAGCCAAGACTGGTTCAAATCCATCGCTGGTGGAGTTCAGAATGCTCTTTGATTATAAGTGAACTATAAATCCCAGAAACTACAACTCCCAAATTACAAAATCAATCCTCCCCCCAACCCCACTAGCATTCACATTTGGGCATATTGGGTATTTGTGACCCAGTTTGGTCCAGTGAATGAAAATAGATCCTGCATATCAGATATTTATATTATGATTCATAACAGTAGCAAAATGACAGTTATGAAGTAGCAACGAAAGTAATTTTATGGTTGGGGGTCACTACAACATGAGGAACTGTATTAAGGGGTCGCGGCATTAGGAAGGTTGAGAACCACTGTTTTACAACATAGAATTAACACAAATTAACTTTTTTTAGAACCAATATGGCCAACTATGAATCCTGGGGGAGTTTTGGGAGGGTTGGCCCATGAGTTTGCGAATTGTAGTTCACCCACCTCCTTATACATTTTCTCATGAGATAATTCATAAAAAACAAAAGACTCAGGGTTGTTTTTCCTAAGTCATTGTGTAACATATGATATTGCCTATCCTAACTTCCAAAAACAAACAATCCCTCTTTCAAATAATAACCCAGGAATTGCCAGTTTTTTGACCACTGTGATAGGATATGATGAAATTGGGATATAATGTTGGTGATGATGGGATCACTCACATTCTCCCCCATATGAACCCACCAGGACTTTGAGATCTTCCGGGGAGACCCTGCTCTCGATCCCGCCTGCTTCTCAAGCTCGGCTGGCGGGGACGAGAGATAGGGCCTTCTCGGTGGTGGCTCCTCGGCTGTGGAACGCCCTTCCTACGGACATTAGACTAGCACCATCTCTAATGGTATTCCGCAAAAAGGTGAAGACCTGGATGTTTGTGCAGGCGTTTGAGTAATTTAGTGCAATCTGGTAATGGAACATAGGAATGGAACAATGGACGACGAACCTGGACTACGCTTGGATGATGAGAAGATTGGGTACGGTTGTTTTTTGTAATAATTGTGCATTGTAATTGCTTATTGGTAATTTATGGATAATGTGTTAAGTCAATTGTTATATGTTGTATGGAACCACTGCTGTTTCTACTGTTTTTACTGTTTGTGAACCGCTGTGAGTCGCCTTCAGCCTTGAGATACAGTGGTATATAAGCAAAGTAAATAAATAAATAAATAAATAAAGTTTACTAACTAATGGAGGAACTCCTTGCCCATCCCCATCATCATCATTATCACCATCATCCTTCCTTGAGCATGAATCCATCTTATCCTGTTTCCCCATCAACATCAGATTAAGGAGCTGGAGACGGAGTTAGATACGGAGCAGAAGCGTCACGTGGAGACGGTGAAGGTCCTGCACAAGAACGAGCGCCGGTTGAAGGAACTGGTCTTCCAAACAGAAGAAGACCACAAGACCAACCAGCGCATGCAGGAGCTGGTGGAGAAGCTCCAGAACAAGCTGAAGACCTACAAGAGGCAAATCGAGGAGGCTGTACGTAACCATCCTTTGAAATCCTTCACATAATCATAGAAAATCAGAGTTGGAAGAAGTTAGACTAGTGGGATATAAATAAGCATACAGTAGAGTCCCACTTATCAGACATAAATGTGCTGGCAGAACGTCAGATAAACAAAAATGTTGGATAATATGTAGTTTCCTACTGTTACCCGTCCAACGTGGCACTAGACACTTAGAATACTAACAACAGGGATTCAACAAGTTAAGGCAAGGCAACACACCGGGGCTAGATGGGCCCAGCAGGAAGTGCTTGGATGTGGAAGAGGAGCGTGGAAATCACAGAGGGAAGGACAGAGGATGCTTCCGCTTCCCATCCTGCCTCTTTTTCCCCTTTCTTCCCCCCTTCTCCTCCTCCTCATCTTGTCTTTTTCACTTATTGGGAATGGGAAGAGAGTTAGGAAGCGCTCCTTCAATTGAAATGCTGGAGGAAAAGGGGGGCATCGGATAAGCAGAGGTCGGATAAACGAGACTCTACTATAATAACAATAATAATAGGAGGGGTGGGAGAAGCAGAGGGCATAACCAAATAGATGTGAAGTAGCATGGTCTTGGTTATCTATATAAATAAAAATGTTCATTTGTGGGATTAACATAACTCAAAAACAACTGGATGAATTGACACCAAATTTGGACACTACACCCCTAACAGACCAATGAGTGGCCATCACTCATAACTCTTCCCCCCCCCCAAAAAAAAAGCAGTGGAAAGGACTTAAAAACACAAAAAAGCTAAATGACAATGCAGCGCATGTGCAAAAGCGACTTCCCCACCCTGCGCACAGTCCGATGTGACTGTGTTACAGTCACATCGGAAGGTTGCGGCCCTCAACGATGGCAGCAGTTGGGAGGAACAATGGGAAGATCCAAGGGCAACGTGAGGGCACTTGCAGAGAGCAAGGACGCACCTCTCTCAAACATTGCCTTTGAGCCCAACTCTTTCCCAGCCTATGTTGAGAGGGAAGGAATGAATGAGGGAAAGGGGGAAGGAAGGAGGGAGGGAAAGAAGGAAAGAAGGAAGGAGGGAAGGAAGGAAAGAGGAAAGGAAGGAAGCAGAGAAGGAAGGAAGGAAAGAGAGAAGGAAAGAAAAAAGAGAAGGGGAGAAGGAGAGAAGAAAAAGGAGAGAAAGAGGGAGCGAAGGAGGAAAGAGAGAAGGAAGGATGGAAACAAAGAGTGAAGGAAGGAAGGAAAAGAGGTAGAGAAGGAAGAAAGGAGAGAAAGGGGAGGGAAAGAAAAAGGGAGAAGGAAGGAAGAAGAGAAAGAAAGAAAGAAAGAAAGAAAGAAAGAAAGAAAAGAAAGAAAGGAGAGAAAGTGGGAGGGAAGGTGGGTCACAGCAATGCGTGGCGGGTACAGCTAGTGTATAGACACACGGAAAGGGGGAAGGAAGGAAGGAGGGAGGGAGGGAAAGAAGGAAAGAAGGAAGGAGGGAAGGAGAGAAGGAAAGAAGGACAGAAAGAGGGAGCGAAGGAAGGAAAGAGAGAAGGAAGAGGAAAAAGAAAAAGGAAGGAAGGAAAGAAGAGAGAGAAGAAGAAAGGAAGAGAAAGAGGAGCGAAGGAAGGAAAGAGAGAAGGAAGGATGTAGATAGAACAATCAGGAGGACTGCTGGCAGTTACAGTCCAAGAATAGATAGAGAAGCAAAAAAGGAGAGAAAGAAAAAAGGAGGGAAGGAAGGAAGAAGAGAAAGAAAGAAAGAAAGAAAGAAAGAAAGAAAGAAAGAAAGAAAGAAAGGAGAGAAAGTGGGAGGGAAGGTGGGTCACAGCAATGCGTGGCGGGTACAGCTAGTGTATAGACACACGGAAAGGGGGAAGGAAGGAAGGAGGGAGGGAGGGAAAGAAGGAAGGAGGGAAGGAGAGAAGGAAAGAAGGACGAAAGAGGGAGAGAAGGAAGGAAAGAGAGAAGGAAGGATGGAACCAAAGAGCAAAGGAAGGAAGGAAAGAAAGAGGTAGAGAAGGAAGAAAGGAGAGAAAGCGGGAGGGAAAGAAAAGGGGGAAGGAAGGAACGAAGGAAGGAGGGAAGGAGAGAGAAAAAAAAGAGGTAGGGAAGGTGGGTCACAGCAACGCGTGGCGGGTACAGCTAGTGTACACACACACACGTCTATAGATCTGTTTCATTGTTTGTTACGAATATGTAAAGTAAAAATTTAAAAAACGTAGAATGTGAATGGTGTTCATTGGTTCACACGCTGCAGGAGGAACAGGCCAATCAAAGCATAGCGAGGTACCGGAAGACTGTGCACGAGCTGGACGATGCCGAGGAGAGAGCCGGGATGGCCGAGTCGGCCCTGAACAAGCTGCGCACCCGCCACCGCGTCTCAGCTGGCAAAGCCTTCACTTCGGTGGAGATCATCCAGGTCTCCAAATCTGCCAGCTCTAAATCATCCGCCGAGGAATAGATCTCACCCCTCCAAACTGGCAGCTGGTAGGTGACTGAGTTTCTGTCCTTGCTTTTAGCAATACATTGATGAGTTTATCTTAATTGAGATAGAGCCCTCGGTGGCACAATGGGTTAAACCGACATGTCGGAAGTTCAAATCTAGGGAGAGCATGGATGAGCTCCCTCTGTCAGCTCCAGCTCCCCATGTGGGGACATGAGAAAAGCCTCCCACAAGGATGGTCAACCATCAAAACATCCAAGCAACATCCCCTGGGCGACGTCCTTGCACACGACCAATTCTCTCAATCCAGAAGCGACTTGCAGTTTCTCAGGTCACTCCTGACATTAAAAGAAATTGAGACTAAGAGGTAGAATATGAATCATGAAACCAGTTGAATACAAAAGCTGTATTCCTTTTTATTAAAAGTAATTTCCAAACTCCTTTGTCCATTGCACACTCACCCTGTATCTAGTTCCACCATTTACCTCCTAAATAAGTTACTTTTTCTCTTTTCAGGCCGAAGGACAAAGTCTCTCCAGGCAGCTGCCTTTTGCAAAGATTGCTAGCATAGTGATGACCGGAGCAGCTTAAAGCTATCTATTTTCAAAGACAACTTGCACAGAAAGAGAAAGAAGGAAGGCGGAAGTCGCAAGCATCTCTTGGAATACGAAGAGAGACAAGTGGAGGATTTCAGAAATATCTTTGATGTGTTTTCTGAAATGGAAACAGTCTGGGTTTTTTTAAAAGGAGGCATTTTCATGTCAAGGACGGAAAATGTTAGGAAGGCATGGCTTGAGCTGTCTCTTGTAAATAACTTTCTCCCACTTAGTCTAAAGCATAGTCTCAATAAAGCTTCATCCTGTGAAAAACAGAGTTGTGTCAGTGTTTATTCTTGCTTTTGTGGGTTCAGAATGTGGACTCATTGGGTGTATTGGGTGTATTCCTGTCACCGTGGATCACCAGTGGTCCACAAGAACCTAAATATGGTCCGTGGCTTCACCATTACTACCAGAATGTCAGGAGGGGAGAAGCTGATTACACACCAAAGATTACTACTACCACATCAGCTCTAGATGATTAAATACAGTTTTCTGTGGGTGAGCAGATGACGACTACAGGGTGGCATGTGTTCTGTATTAGAAACTTGAACTGGTGTGGTCTATTCAATACAATTTTCTGAATCGGCACCCCGAATAATCAAACTGAACCTAAAGTTGACCAAAAATTGATTCATAAGCCTTTTAGTACTAATTTTGGAGAGTGCTCTGTTGAGATTAACTTCACAATTCAGCAGCAGTTCAGTTGCACAACTTCAGCGCTTTCCAGTAGCTTCTTCCTGCACAGTATTTTCAGTCAATTTTCAGTATTTTCAGTCCCACAGCTTGCAGTCACGCTGGAACCTTTTACAGACACTTGAGTACATGCCCGGCCATTGTCAGTTTTACCATTGTCTTTCCCCCAGTCTAGATGACATTACAAACTTACCACAGCATACAGTTATATCTGGTCTTAGCAGACAGGTTCTTTTAATCAATTACATAGAGACTTCGACAAACAACATCACAGCACAAAGAGAGAGAATACACTGTACATGACTTCCTTATATACAATTCTATACAATTACACATAGCAATCTCTGATTGGTTCCCAACTCATTAACTTAACTCAGACCCAGGATTGCATCATTCACAATCACCTGGACTAGGCCAGAACACATTCCCCAAATGAAGTTCTATATACAGTTAATGCACGACTCAGCATTTCCAATAGAAGCCCATTAGCAGTGCATGACTCAGCTATATTACATTACAATACACTGTAAAACCTGACATGTTCCCTGTTCAAGTGGTCCCTGGCCACAAAAAAGTCCAGGAACCATTGATCTACACTGTAGAATTTATGCTGTTTGGCACAACTTTTAACTGAATGCTATGGATTCCTGGGATCTGCAGTTTGATGAGGAACCAGACCAGCCACTCTTTGGTAGAGAATAATAATAATAATAATAATAATCATCATCATCATCATCTTTATTTATATCCTGCCACCATCTCCCCAATGGGGACTCGGAGCGGCTTACATGGGGCCAAACCCAGACAACATATTACAGCAAAATAAAACCAGAGCATAAACAACAAACAACATCATCAAAATTACATTAAGGAAAAAAAGAAAAAAAGAAGACCTTGTTAAACTACAACTCCCAGGATTATACTGATGCCGAACATGAATTTGCGAGGTCCTGCTTAGGCAGAGACCGGCCAGACCCAAAAAGAGGATCCGGGACACCTGGCGCGACAGCGAGTACAAGAAAGATTTTCCCTAAATTTCCCAATAAAGTCTCACCAAGTTTGAAGGAAAGCCACCGAGGTTTTATTTAATTCCAGTTGGAACAGAAGACGACCGCAGTTCTCTGCCAAACAAGCTGACATGTATGCTAGGGAGGTAAATACAGAATATATATTTTGGGTTGTTGTAGGTTTTCCTGGGCTATATGGCCATGTTCTAGAGGTATTTTCTCCTGACGTTTCGCCTGCATCTATGGCAAGCATCCTCAGAGGTAGTGAGGTCTGTTGGAACTAGGAAAAGGGGTTTATATATCTGTGGAATGACCTGGGTGGGACAAAGGACTCTTGTCTGCTGGAGTGAGGTGTGAATGTTTCAACTGACCACCTTCATTAGCATTTGATGGCTTGGCAGTGCCTGGGGGAAACTTTTGTTGAGAGGTGATTAGATGTGCCTGATTGTTTACTCTCTGTAGTTTTGCTGTTATAATTTTAGAGTTTTTTTTAATACTGGCAACCAGATTTAGATCTTTTTCATGTCTTCCTCCTTTCTGTTGAAATTGTCCACATGCTTGTGTATTTTAATGGTTTCTCTGTGTCGTTTGACATGGTGGTTGTGAGAGTGGTCCAGCATTTCTGTGTTCTCAAATAATCTGCTGTGTCCAGGTTGGTTCCTCAGGTGCTCTGCTATGGCTGATTTCTCTGGTTGGAGTAGTCTGGAGTGCCTTTCATGTTCCTTGATTGTGTTTGGGTGCTGCGTTTGGTGGTCCCTATGTAGATTTCAACAGAAAGGAGGATTGAAACCATGAAAATGAACAAAATCTGGCTACCAGTATTAAAAAAAATACTCTAAAATTAGAACAGCACAACAACAGAGAGGAAACAATGTATTGTCGACTCTAAAATTACAACAGCAAAACAACAGAGAGGAAACAACCAGGCACAGATTAACACCTCCCAGCAAGAGATTTTCCCAGGCTCAGGCAGGCCTTCAAATGCTAATGAAGGTGGTCAGTTGAAACATTCACACCTAGCTGCAGCAGGGAAGAGCTCCTTGCCCCACCCCAGCCATTCCACAGATATATAAACCCATTGCCCTAATTCCAACAGACCTCACTACCTCTGAGGATGCTTGCCATAGATGCAGGCGAAACGTCAGGAGAAATGCCTCTAGAACATGGCTCTATAGCCCGAAAAAACCCACAAGAACCTAGAGAGGAAACAAACAAGGACATCTAATTACCTCTCAACAAAAGATTGCTCCAGGCACTGCCAGGCCATCAAATGCTAATTAAGGTGATCAGTTGAAACATTCACACCTAGCTCCAGAAGACAAGAGTCCTTTGTCCCACCCTGGACATCATTCCACAGATATATAAACCCTATTTCCTAGTTCAAATAGACCTCACTATTTCTGAGGATGCTTGCCATAGATGCAGGCGAAACGTCAGGAGAGAATGCCTCTAGACCATGGCCATATAGCCCGAAAAAATCTACAACAGCCCAGTGATTCCAGCCATGAAAGCCTTCGACAATACATTGAACTGACTAGGATCCATGTTGGAGCCTGGAAATATAACTTAATCCAGTTTTATATTAAACAAAGGCAGGGTTTTAGAAAACAACAAAAGCAGTACATTCCAGGCCTTCTGCTTCTGGAAGCAAACAAACAGGTTTTTCCAGGCAAACAAAGGAGGGTCTTCAGAAAGTCTATTGTCTGAGGCTGAGAATGCATTCCTGAGTATTGGCTCTTTGGCTTGAGTCACGCAGTTTAGACAGTTTCTTATATTTGGTACATTTAAGAATAAGGTAGAATAAAAGTACAGTCTATAACATAGACTCGTTATATAAAAGAATAAAAGCTATACAGAAAGGAATAGATACAAATATGGCAGCTTCTTAATCCCAGTTTTGTAGTATTGTCCTTGAACGTCTGAGCATGAGGATGGGTATAGGGAAATGTCTTTTCTCAGGCCAGCCAAATCAAGGAGGTTGAAATGGCCCAAAGTTTCCTTTGTTTCTGAACCATTTCCCAGCCTGGCGTAATATCTGGGTGGTTAGGTGTTTGTGTGTATATGTGTATACACACACATATATATGTATATATGTGTGTGTGTTTGTGTGTCTATGAGTGCATATGTGTGTATATATTTGTGTTTGTGTGTATGTGTATATATACACACATATGTATAAGTGTATATGTGTGCATATGTGTGTATATATTTGTGTTTGTGTGTATTTGTATATATGTGTATATGTGTGTATAAGTATTTATTATATTGTATTTACTTATGTGTTGGTGTATGTGTACATGTGTATATGCACGTGTGTATGTGTGTGTTTGTGTGTATGTATACACACATATGTACACATGTGTATATATGTGTATACAAACATACACATACATACACGTGTACATGTGTGTATATGTATGTATTATATTGTATGTATATATTTATGTTTGTGTATGTGTACGTGTACATGTGTATATGTACATACACACATATATACATATGTGCATGCATGCATGCATGTGTATTTGTGTATGTATATACATACACACATGTGTGCATATATTTATGTGTTTGTGTGTATGTGTATATATACACACATATGTATATGTGTATATATGTGCATATGTGCGTATATATTTGTGTGTATGTGTGTGTATTTGTGTATGTATATACATACACACATATGTATATGCATATGTGTGCATGTGTGTATATGTATTTATTTGTGTTTGTGTGTAGGTTAAAAGGTTGTCCCCTGACATTAAGTCCCGTCATGTCTGACTCTGGGGGTTGGTGCTCATCTCCATTTCTAAGCCGAAGAGCCGGCATTGTCCATAGACACCTCCAAGGTCATGTGGCCGGCATGACTGCATAGAGCGCCGTTACCTTCCCACCGGAGCAGTACCTATTGATCTACTCACATTTGCATGTTTTCGAACTGCTAGGTTGGCAGAAGCTAGTGCTGACAGCGGAAGCTCACGCCGCTCCCCGGAATCGAACCTGCGACCTTTCGGTCAACAAGCTCAGCAGCTCAGTGCTTTAACCCACTGCGCCACCTTGGAAGATGGACCAATCGGCAGCCAGGAGGCGGGACGAAGCCTGACAAAGACTGAGGAAATGACAGCCTTTGGGGCATCTGTGTGGCTTTGTTTTTTACACGGCGGGGTGTTAGATAGGAGAGCAATGAGTTTCCTGGTCTGTGATGGGATTTGGGAGGAAGTATGAAAAGGAGCTTTTGATGATATTTGGACCTCAGGGCCTTGTAAACAAGGGGGATCAACAAATACCTAAAATGATACAGTCTTTTCTTCCTGAGTTTTCTGTTGACCCTTCTCTCATCTTACTGTCTGCTCTGAAAGTTAGTTCGAGAAGGGGATCAACCGCACGGCCCATGCAAATGTAAATATGAACCATTTTGGGAGGACAAAGGGTTTCCTCCCTGTCACAGTAATCCTTAGGTCACATTCCTTTTTGGGGCAGGGGTCAAAGAGGAGAAGCAGGGAGGGGAACCAGAGTACATTTCTTTTTAGAACTCACAAAGATGTTTATTAAAACAAAGAAACATTTACAAGTT